TAAAAATCAATGGAAAAAATATCCTAGGGTGAGGATTAAAAAAAAATTAATTTTATTTGAGTTCGTATATATATTCATATGTATAACAAATATTGAAAAGGTATGTGCCAAAATTTATCAGGTTACTTATGGATAGCAGGATTTGTTTCCTTTATATGTGACTGTAATTGTAGATGTTTTAGAATATATATTAAATAAGAGTGTTTTTATTTGAATGATGAAATCAGGTGATTTTTTTTTACTTGGTGAGACAAATAGTTAAATGGATCAAAGTTTTATGAATCACTTATCAGAAAAAGCTAATTATAATATATGTATTTTTATTGCTGACTAATTTGAGATATACATTAATTTGATGACTGATTTGCTCCTCTAGTAGGATTTGAAACATATGATGTTAGCTAGCTGTTTTAATACTACTTTACATATCACTAATCATTTTGTGTCCAATTTTGCAGTTCAATCTAAAACACGAATTACTTTTGAGGCTTTTTTGTTGTTGTTAATCCTCACCTGAGGATATTTTTTCCATTGATTTTTAGAGACAGTAGAAGGGAGGAAGGGGGATGGGAGAGAGAAACATTGATGTGAGAGAGACACATTGATTGGTTGGCTCCCACATGTACCCCAACCAGGTACATGCCCTTGACTGGGAATTGAACCCTTGACACTTTGGTCCCGGGCTGACGCTCTACCACAGAGCCACACTGGCCAGGGTACTTTTGATGCTTTTTTAGTGAACTCTGTACAATTCACAGTTATTAAAACTTGAAGAGATTAGAAATATTTATTATAAAATTTAAAGAATAATATGACAAACCTCGTATCACCACCTACTGTCTATTCATAATTTTTTAGTTATAGTTGTGATTTAAAAATTTGAATTGACTAAAGCATTTAACATTCATGAACATCCATATGTGCCCTATTTCTTCACTCTCAATGTGTTACATTATACTTTTTAATTTGATGGTCTTCTTTAGAAAAATGTACTTTAATCACAGATAGCCCAAGGTGATTTTGTAAGGAAGTTAAAAATTTAAACATAGTATTTTACTAGTGTGATGAAATTATGTTAAAATTTGGTTTAGATATTGTCAAACATATTTTATTCTTGACAGAGTGGTCCCATTTACTAGTTGATTTGTAATTAATGTACTATCATCAACCATTTCTAGGTTCTAGGTCTTTGTTAAAGGACATCAGCAACTCTGTCCTTTGGCAAATTTAAGCCATTCCTTGCTAGAAGAAATTAGAGGCATTGAAATAAGTAGTTGCTTTTGTTTCATACAAGGGTCTGCAAGGTGTATTGAGCAGTTCAAGGTCTACCATAATGAACTAGTGTTTATGATTTTAGCTAAGTTATTCTACCTCTCTGGCCTTAATATTCTCATTGATACATGAATAGTTGGATTAGATGACTTTTAAGTTACCTTTAACTTCTTAAGTGCTTTAGTATTTTTTCTGCCAGGAACAGATAAAGGAAACAGGTCCTCTGTCTGTAGAAAGGTTGAAAAGATTAAAAACACTTCCTAGAATGAATTTCAATAGTCAGTAATAGACTACATATATGAGTAAATAACTGCTACAGTACACTAATTGCTTGTTATAACTAGTGTTCTTAAATCTATGTTTGTCAGAGGTTTACTGAATGATATTTCTGCCCCCAAAAGCTTCCAGATTACTCTTTGACTATTAAAAGACTTTACTTAAACCAGTGGTTAGTATTTGTATTACTCTCCTAGCATTCTAATTATAATTCTAGAATGAGATAAACTTAAAAAATATTCTCTGTAACCTTTTCTTCATCCTCTTTAAATTACAATTTTAATTTACTATGAGAATTCAGTAGGAAAGGAATTTAGGTTTTTAATTAAACTAATTTCTAATAAAATTTTCCAATTTAACTTCTATATTATAACAACAATTATTAGAAAGCCATGAAAATGTTATACAAATATAGAGACTTTTAGAATTAAAGTGACTAGGGCTTGAGTTTATTTGTAGGGTCTTCTATTTTGTGCATTTGAATGCCTCTGGGGAAAGATGTAACCTTGTTTTCTAAGTGATTTTGGTAAGTAATGAGTAAGTTTTTTCTGACATTCCAGTCATACACTGTGAACATTCCAGAGTATTCTATTCCAATTTTCAACTTGGGAATGAAGCATGATACAGGAGGGAAATTTAAATACTATGTGGTAGAAATTTATACATTTATAAGCATAGTTGGAGACCTAAGTTGACCATAATGGTTGATTATATATATATTAATGTATTCCAGAAGTCACTTAAAAATGTTTTTGCTAAATAGCCAGTTGAAAATGAATTAAAGATTATTACTAAGTTTATTTAATTAAATGCAATGTATTTCTAATTCTTAAATTATCATAGTTTATCATATGATACTATATTGGTCTTTAATCTTAAAGAAGTCTATAAATATGTTTGTATTGTGACATAAACCATTATAAGTTATTTATCATGTTGTGAATATTGGGAACCTTGCCTTTAATGTCATTTACTGTATAATGATGTGAAATGACTGTTAATGAATTTACTGAGGTTGGATTTGGGTAAAACTATTGAAGGGTGAAGAATGACAATTAAAAATATAGTAGCATATGAAGATAATGATTCCTTTGTATGAAATTTTATTTATAGAATGTTGGTTCAAATCTCCTGATTTAGATTTCTAAAATTGCTGAGGCTTTCTTTAAAAACTAAGTAATGCAGTTGAAGATTTTTTTTCCAGTTTCTTTTCTTCAGTAGATCAGTTTCCAGAAACTATCTTAATTGTAGTATTATTGTTTGTTAGAAGAAATTAAATAATAAAGGCATAATTGTGATAGAACCGTTGTTGGACTGTATCATTGGACTATACTTAAATTTTTTTGATAGCTACATTTATCTTAATGTCCATTTAATATCTGTAGAACAATTCTTGTCTTGCTTATTTTGTGTGTGTGTCTGATGTTGGATCAACTGATGTGTGTCTATTTATTGGTGGCTTATTCTAAACCACATAAGGAACATTGGTTTACATTAAAATATGCACAGTTTATTAACAAACCTTAAATTGCCAACTTAGATATATTGTGAATTAAAATTTTTAGGGATCAGAATTAACTTCACAAAATATATGGAAACTGTTGACTTTTAGCAGAAACCCTTATAGTTTCATATCTGAGGGCCTTAGCTGACAAATTGCTGTTTTGTAAAATGAATTACATGAATCATGGAAGCTTTAAACTTTCTTTTTTTATAGCCCTACCTGAACCCATCCTTCCATCCATCCAAAAAATATACCCAGTAAGTGTTTCTTATGAATTATTATAATACATAATGTGACCAGTATATGTGGGACTATTTATGTAGTGTTAATGTAAATATAAAAGTAGTAATAGTTACATAATCTTCTAAGTATTGATAACATTTTCTCTATAGACTGAGGCATTGGCCATTAGAACATTAAAAATGTTTCATATACTTTTTCAGAAGACTGATAATTTATTTTGTTACTGGCAGACAATCTGGTCATTTTTTTAATGATGGAATTTTGTGCATGAAGCTCATGATTATCCCTAATGGGTGTTAAATTAGTCCCATTTGGACTCATTCTGGTTTTCTTAAAATACAGTTTTACAGCATTTCTTTAGTTAGTTAACTCAGAAGTTTTTCGTCCAATGTATGTATATTTTGAAAGCAGAGGGGAGAAATTAAGAAATTGAACAATCGGATAATCATTGTATCTTTCATTTGATTTTATTAAGTAATAAAGCAAAAGAGGTAACAATAGTACTCTATTCTTGTGTGCATAATAAGAATCCTGCTGAAGCAATTTGGAAATACTCAAGAAATGAACTGTACCTACTAGGAAAAGTTTAGTATGTTCTCCGTTTGAGTTTAGAGAAACCTTGGTAATGTACATATTTGCAATGTATGTGAATACTTTTGTTTCTTCCGTTTTTTGTGTTCTTTCCAGAATTCTCTGTTGCCTTGTTTTATAGTCCTACTATTTTTGTTTTCTCCCATAGTCAGCCTTGTTCCTGGTTTTATTTGAAAATATTATTTAAGCTACTTGTTTAGAATGTTTGACCAACCTACTGAAACCACATAATTTTTACCTGTTTTTTAAACTTACTAAGTGGTCATATTATAAAGAAAAACATAGTATCTAGCTTTAGTGGTCAGCATTCAAAGAACTTATTTATTTTGTATGTATCACAAAATATAATAAATACACTTGACATAGAACCTAAATTAAATGTAATTTAATCCTTGATAATTGAAAAGAACTGATCTTGTTTTTGAACCTCAGTTATTGCAATGATTGCAATACATACATGCAAGGTGCTGGGTAATGAAAGGTTTACTGCAAGAGAGCTTTGCTGTAGTGGGACTTCCTAGTTTGTGGTGGGTCATCTTCTAGAGGACACATTTATAACAACAACCTTTTGGCATTTGTATATCTTATTTTCCTCCTTTTAAAAACTAAATTCTGCTATATGAAGAACCATTATAATGAGTTCCCAATAGTACTAGGGTATGCTTTTAAACATGAAAAATGAAACAAGCTTTCACTGAATACCTTTGAAAAGACAAAATACTTTGGTGAAGATTTATTTTTTTTAAAATGACAATGAACCGTGGCTGACGTGGCTCAGTTGTTAAGCATTGATCTATGAATCAGCAGGTCATGGTTCGATTCTCAGTCGGGGTACAAATGATTCTTTCTCATCATTGATGTTTCTCTCTCTTTCTCCCTTCCTCTCTGAAATATATTAAAAAATAAAATGATACTAAAACTATTATTTTAAAGTTGACATTACTTAAATTTTTAAAAGCATAAGGAAGTTAATTTTGAAATAATACATTATAAGTTTTAGGACCTAACCGTACTGCATTATTATATAAATGTACAGTTAAAATAATGATGATGCCTGGCATATATTAAATTATGAATATTTAGGTAATACTATTGCTGCTAAGCTTTACATACATTATGTTATTTAATCGTTATAACAACCCTATGAGTACTATTGTCTTTATATTATAGATGAAGAATCTTTGCAAAGCTGGGTAACTTCATTTAATTAATAGAAGAACAACGTTTCAAACCTAGGTGGTCTGACTCCAAAGTTGATGCCTTAATCACCTTATTATAGTGCTCATACTTTATGTTAAATACTTATTTATATTGATTTCAAAACTTAAAAATCTCACTAAAATGTGATATAATATAACGGAAATTTAGTGATCAGTTTTCCAACATACATCACCATATCGGTGGTGACCTGTATACAATAAAGAAAGCGTGGTAGAACTTCAATATATTATTTAGTTCTTTATTCAGGCAAAACTCTACTTACTCTATATCTACTTACTCTTTACATCTACACATTTTTTTAAGGAAAAGTTACCAAGAAAAAGTTTAGCCAATCTAATTTATTCCAGAAGGTCTTTAATTGTCCAGATTTCAAACTTTGAAGATGAAGTAAGAAATTATGGGCACAGCTTCCCATAATAGAATATGGCAGAAGATGTTTTTGGCATATTGGCAGACAATTGTATTGACAAAACAGTGAAACTTTTCAGATGTTTTTCGAGCGATTGCCTTTCAAAGTTTTCCTTACCTTGGCATTGATTGAAGAGAAATGGAAAATATGTATCGTTAAAAGTATCAGCATTTAAATATCATTTAGAATTGATTCATTACACATTTGGTTATGAGAAGCCCAAAATAAGATATAACCTTAAAATGTAATACAGCCCTAGCTGGTTTGGCTCAGTGGATGGAGTGTCCGCCTGCGGACTGAAGGGTCCCAGATTTCTCCCTCAGTATGTATATGGCCCTTTTGTATATGACTGTGAAAAAGAACAGTGGAGCTAAGAGGAGACTGGCCAAATTGGTCCAAGGTCATTCAATCATTTTTATAGACTAGGTCTCACTATTTCAGTTTTAATCTCACAATTGCTGATACTTTTCTTTAAATTACTGAACAAATTAAAAAAATTTAAAGGAAGTTCAAACTGTGTTAAATTTCAGGTAAGAAAATAACTTCTATTTTAGCATCAGTTCATAAATTATATGCTTACTGTGCTAGGTGCTAGAAATCAAAATTAGTAAGTAGTTTTCAGAGCTGAAGGTATTAAACAGTGACCCACTTTTATTTTCTTTGCCACTTGAACTTGTTATACCTTTGTCTTCAATTTCCCAGAAAGTAATATTTAAATTTTACAATTTTAAGTAATGTCCTAAGTCCAATTTTTTACACATAACAATTAAGAGACAAAAGGTGGTAGAGGCAGTATACCTGCTCTTCCTTCTGCTTTTACTCTTTATTATAAATTGAGGCTTCTTTCTTATTAGTATATCTACTTGTAATACTAAATATGTTAGAAGTGGAAACGGAAGTGTCAATTTAGGAGTCCCAACATTATGAATTGTGGTTTTGGAATAGAGTTTTCTTCTGAGAGAATCATTTTCTGGTGGTTAAAAATTATTGATAGAATCTATAATAATAAAGGGTAATATGCTAATTAGACTGGACATCCTTCTGGATGACCTTTTGGACAAAAGCCAGGGCTGTGAGGGAAGCGCGGGTCCTGGGTGCATGCTGGCAGCCAGAGGGAAGCCTGGGTCCCAGGTGGCAGAGGGAAGCCGGTGTTGGCAGCCGGGGGAAGGAAGGCCTGCTCTTGCACAAATTTTGTGCATCAGGCCTCTAGTTATAGATAATGGGGTAGAGGAGGGAAGCTTAAAATTTTCTTGCTCCTTAATTTTTTAGTGATGATTTTTGATGACTACCATTAAATAGATGCAATACCCCAATTCTCTGTATTACAACGCAGTTATCTTGAGTTATTTAGACATTACTAATTTAATCGATATCAATAAACCCAAGGTTGATTTGTTAGAGTTGGGAATGTTAAGTGTAGTTGTCATTCTGCTGCCTTAGCCAATAGCTTTTTTGGAGAAAAAGAAAAAGTATTTCTATTTTGATGGCAACGGGTAGTATAGAAAACTCTTCTTGAGGGCACTGCAAACTACCTTAGGAAACATTTTCTTTTTTATTTGTAAATAGTTTTAACAACCAGCTGTCCTTTCCCTACTTTTTCAGATCCTGGATTAGGGCAAGCAGCCAGTTGCAAAATTGGAGTTTATTTTTTAGCAGTGAAAAACAAGATTATTTACTAAATTCTTTTATTTTCAGGCATACAGATATATACTACTTGAAGCTGTATAGTTCATTTAGTATGTTTTAGAGCCAGAACTTGCTGCTATTAGAGAAAAGATTAAATATGAAAATGAATGGCATACCATAGGCAAAAAGAATAAGTACCCATTAGTATTCTTTCTAAGAAGTGTGCTGTTTAGTCCTGGATTACAAGCAAATGAAAATGAATATTTATGAATATTATGGTAAAAGTTTGCTGAATATTGCTTGCTGGTATTTCCCTTTCTTCTGTTCCCTGCCCTCTTTGTCTTTTCAAGTTCAGTTCATGTTGGATGTCTCTCTTCTTTTCCCTCTAAGATACAAAATAAAAATTTTTTAATTGGTATAGGTACTATTTATTTATTAAAGTTATTTTTATGGCCTTTGAGAGAAATTTTAACTGGCAGTTAGAAAGAGCTCTTTTACCTGGTGCTTGATATAACCTCTATAAAGTGCAACTGCTTCTTATAGAAATAATTAAAAAGGAGATACATTTGTAAAGGAATCTCTGTGTTATTGCATGGAGTTTCGGCATGTACAGTAACATTTTATTTATGAGTTAGAAAATCTTTGCTAGCATACAGATCCATTGTTTGTTATATCTCAGCCAAGGATTAGAATATCTTAGATTTTCAGGTACTTTCTGGCCTACTCCAAACACTGGTAAAACGTACGTGTAAGAAAACCTTCAAATTTCCAAAATACCAACATAAAAAAAAAATTTCTTCTCTCTTTTTCAGAGCACTTTATTTAGATCAGGATTTATAAAGTTTTTAGTGTATGTTTTAAATGGCTTTACATTTCGTCCCCTTTTTTTCCTGACAGGAATCTTTTAGTCCTGCTATACAACTGCACCTTGTACATCAAGTTCCATGTAATGTTCCTCCTTACCTCTCAAAGAATGAATCAAATCTTGGGGACCTCTTACTGGGCTTTCTTAAGTATTATGCTACGGAATTTGAGTAAGTGAAACCTCAAATTGTATTTATTCATTTTTATATAAGTGAATGCTACAAATTTGGTCAAAGGTTATTTTTGTCAATTTCAATGCTGTAAACTTGTCCAGAAATGTATAATTTATAAAAGTTAATATCTAAAGATTAATTATTAGATACTAAGTAGATTTCATATTCCTAGCTAAAAAAATTATAGCTCACTAAGCCCAGTTTTAGTTGCTTTCACTAGTGATCCCATTCTATGTTTAGCTGCCTCTTTTCATAGTAGGGCCTGAATAAATGTTTATGTTGGTCATAACGTAGGTACTATATCATTTGGAACATCTATTTTTTAAATACTGAAAATTTGTAGTAAAAAACACAGCTGTGACAAATTGGAAAAATATTTACTTAATACCTGATATCTGAATTTAATAGTTGTGGTATATGATATACAAATCAAGGAATAATCCTTTTCCATGTTTTTTGTTGATGGTAATGTGTAAATATGAAAGATTAAAGTATATAAACAGGCTGGACATAACTGAAAGTTCTTATGGGAGTTCTTAGTTCATAGAATAGGATTAGGGGATGTTCGCAGCTCTTCTGATCAATTTAGAAAGCTTGAAGGAGAAGGAGAAAGGACTTAGGAGTTATACAAAATTAGAGAAATACAGTGACCACAGAATCCCACACTGAAGAGGTTTGGAGAGGGGATAATAATAGTAAGAGTAATAAATTGCTATTACTAGGTGGGGTAAACATTCTAAACAGGTTATATGTATTATCTCATTCAGTTTACATTATCACCATATAGGATGGTATTATATTACGCCCATTTTACCAGTGAGGCATATAAAGAGGTTAAGAAACTTGCACTAAGATCACACAGCTTGTAAGGGGAGTATTTCAAATAGTTTTGATTGCAAAATTCACACTCTTAACTATGATACTTTACCACATGTTGATATTGTCTTATGTACTATGATGTATTAGCTTTAAAGAAAATTGACTTCTATGTGATGATTTGAAACATAGGGCGTGAAAGATGAAATGTTTTTTAAATTTCTCAAAGTAAAGCTTATACCAGACTGTTTGAACCTGTTTAGTTAAAGTTGTTTCTCTAGTACCTAGTTCAGTGCCAGATAGTGGGTACTTGACAAATATTTATAAATAAATAAATAATTTGAAGCATAAAGTAAGATTGTAGACCTGATTCAAAGATCCTTAAGATTACTAAAATTGCTGAATAAGGTTAAGAAAAGGAGTAGGAAAAGTGCTGGAAGAAAGGAGTTCAGTAAGAATGAAGTTATGATAGTCCAGGTTAAAAATGACCTACATATAAGTCCAGGCAACAAGGATAAAAAGGAAGGAGCCTTCATTAATATAAAGATGAAGAAAGATTTAAGACTATATGAAACATAGGACATAAACTGTAAAGGTTACTCTGGAGTTCAGATATTGGAATAACAAAATAGCTAATATTTAGTGAATATTTCTTTATTTCGTGTCCTTTTAGAGCAGTGGTTCTCAACCTTCCTAATGCTGTGATCCTTTAATACAGTTCTTCATGTTTTGGTGACCCCCAATCATAAAATTATTTTTGTTGCTACTTCATAACTGTAATTTTGCTATTGTTATGAATCGTAATGTAAATATCTGATATGCTATATGTGTTTTCCGATGGTCACGACCCACAGGTTGAGAACCGCTGTTTTAGAGTATGCTGAGTGATTCCCATGTATTACCTCATTTAATCCTTAAAATAACCCCCTGTCAAGCTTAGGGGGAATTTGTGAACCTTCTCATGTCAATACAGCAGATAGTGAGAAAACTGGGGCCTGACTACAAAACACACTCTAATTTGTTAGACCATATTGGCATGGTCTGTTATGTCATATAAATTAAGGCTTGGGAGAAGTTTGTAGAGGAAAAGGATACACGTAGTAGAAAGTTACATTTCTGCCATGTGTATGGTTTAGGATTAGAGCACCTACGTATAAACACTTTGAAAATCGCTGCTTTGTTGGACTGAAACAAGATGGTAGTTGTCCCATTTGTGTGTGAGTTTAGCATTGACAGAAACTAGCTTGCTGTGCCAAATGATACTGGCTAGGATGCTGATGCTTGAAAAAGGTTTTGAACTTTTGTATGCATTCGTTATCATGATGATACATGATTTATGAGCCATCTTCCTCTACTCTCTCATCATATAGAGCATTTGTCAAGTGCATTATTGTTTCATACCAGATATTTTCAGAAATTTGACTGTAGAGAGCACAGGCAAGAATGTAGTCATGGTGATGAACTAGGTGCTGTTAAAAATTCTGTTAAGTTAAAAATGTTTGTAAGGATTTCTTCTGAACTTTGAAATGTTCAATTAAAAAATTTTCTATACTTGAAGACAGAATTAAGTGCCTTTTAAGAGATGCTTGAGTATATGGTACAAATGTTGCAGAAATTTTAAGTGGCCATTTAAAAATTACTAAGATGTTCTTACCTATTTCACCCATAACTTTCTCCTAAACTTTGCTGCTGAAAATTCTCATAATGAAACCAGACTTCTAAAACTGTACCCGGGGAAAGGGAACTGACAAAATAGGGGGGGAAAAGAATTACGTGACTCAGGGAATCTTGAAAAAAATAGTGGGAGGTTGGGGGTAAGAGATCAACCAAAAGACTTATATGCTTCCTTATAAGCATAACCAATGGACACAGATAATAGGGGGTGAGGCCCTGTGCTGGGGGGCAGGTGCATGCTGGGAGAGGTCAATGGGGGAGAAGTGGACATATGTAATACTTTTCAATGTAAAGAATTTAAAAAAAAATATAGATGTAATAATTTTGTATTTTAGCAAGACAAAAGTTCTAAATATTATAGACTCAGATATTGGAGAGTCTATGAACTTTATTTTTGTATTTTTAAAAAAAATGTTTTTATTGATTTCAGAGAGAGGAAGGGAGAGGGAGAGAGATAGAAACATTAATGATGAGAAAGAATGATCGATCAGCTGCCTTCTGCACACCCCATACTAGGGTCAAGCCTGCAACCCAGGCAAGTATGTGACATGACTGGGAATTGAACTGTTAACTTCCTGGTTCATAGTTCGATGCTCAACCAATGAGCCATGCCAATAGAGCTGGGCTCTATTGCCTCACCCTGTATTTCTAAACTGTACTCTTTTTGTTTGTTTGTTTTTCAACACGTTAAGCTCCATGTCAGTCACCAGTGACTGACACTATACTTTCCGTCTGGAAGACAAACAGGCTGGGTGCTTAACGTGTTAATTTTGTTTCTGAACTGTACTCTTGATAAGAAAATGTAGAAAACTATACTTTAAGGATTCTTTTCAATGATCAAACTTCACGAGATGCAATATTTTCTCGAATATTTAACATGGAAATTAATCAGTTTTCCAGAAATAAATGCCATACTGAACCCACTATTATATTCTTTTCTTACTAGAGGCCCAGTGCATGAAATTCGTGCACAGGGGTTGGGGGTTCCCCCCTCAGCTCGGCCAGCATCCTCTCCAATCCGGGACCCCTCAGGGGATGTCCCACTGCCAGTTTAGGCCTGATCCTGCAGGCAGTCAGACATCCCACTCGCAATCCAGGACTACTGGCTCCTAACCGCTCGCCTGCCTGATCACCCCTAACCACTTCTGCCTGCCGGTCTAATGCCTCTAACTGCTCCCCTGCCAGTCTGATTGTCCCCTAACTGCTCCCCTGCTGGCCTGATCTTCCCTAACTGCCCTCCCCTGCAGCCTGATCGCCCCCTAACTGCCCTCCCCTGCTGGCCTGATCACCCCAGACTGCCTCTGCCTCAGCCCCCGCCACTGTGACTTTGTCCGGAAGGACGTCCGGAAGATGTCCGGTCTAATTAGCATATTACCATTTTATTAGTATAGATGGTTTCTCTATCTAGTAAATATAGAAAGTGTTGGACTTGGAAGGTCCCAAACTATGGTCTTTTCTCTTCTTACTGAAATGATGGAGAAAGCTAGATAGCACTGTAAAAAAGATACCAGCTACTCCCCAAACTCATTTTCTCTTGTATACAGGCAGAGTAGTCATAAGTGTTAAAATACTTCTTGAAAAAAAGAAAATAGTACTCATACAAACTATTATAATTGTAAAGAAATCAAAAGAAACAACAATGTAATGCTAATACATTACTAAAGACTGGACAATTTACCTTCAGATAGGCAGATAAAATTGTTTTACTTGAGTAAAACTTCATTATTAGCTGCTACATCCATATGTAGTAATACATGTTTTCACAGTGTATTAATGTTTTCATAGAGTATTAATTTTGTTTTCTGAACCAGCACCTACTTGCTTCTTTTGGAAAGTTTCAGAATTTTTTTCCAAATCATACAAATAGATATGGACCTGAACATAAATTACTGACTAAATCAGAAAATAACACAAGAAGATTAATTCTTCTTAAATTAAAAATTCTTAGTGAGGTATTAATAATGAATATAATTTTTATATTTTTTTGCTTACTTACACATTTTTCTTTTATTTATTTTTAATGTTTTTTTACAATATATATTTTTATTGATTTTAGAAAGGAAGGGAGAGGGATAGAGAGAGAAACATCAATGATGAGAGAGAAGCATTGATTGGCTGCCTCCTGCACGCCCCCTACTGGGGATCGAGCCCGCAACCCAGGCATGTGCCCTTGGCCGGAATCGAACCTGGGACCCTTCAGTCTGCAGGCCAACGACCTATCCACTGAGCCCTATTCTTTTTAAAAAATTCTCACCTGAGGATATGTTTTTTATTTGATGTGAGAGAGAAACATTTATCAGTTGCCTCCTATATGCATCCCAACTTGGGATCGAACCCACAACCTAGGTATGTGCTCTGACTGGGAATCGAATTCGCAGTCTTTTGGTGTATAGGGCAATACTTCAACCAACTGAGCCACGGGGCCAGGGTTTCTTATTTTTTTATATTGCTTAATTTATTCAATAAATAAGTATTAAGTACCTAATTTGTGCTAAACAACTAGTTGAACATGAAAAAATACAGAAATAATATCTTGGAGACACACTATAAATAATAACTAAGCAAATTGTTAGACTAATAGTGCTATGGAGAAAAAAGAGAAACGGAAATGGGGATTGTGTTGCTGAGGGTTGAGGCAAGTTTCAGTATTCTTTGAGAAAATCAGAGGAGGCCTTACTACTAATATAATAAAAATAATAAATGGGAAATTAAAATAGTTAACATGATTAATGTTTTCTTATAGCTGGAACAGTCAAATGATTTCAGTTCGTGAAGCCAAAGCCATTCCCAGGCCTGATGGTATTGAATGGAGAAATAAATACATCTGTGTAGAAGGTAGCTTTTCCACTACTCTCTGTCATTCAGTTATCATCATGGTACTGAGAGAATTACTTGAATAAGTTCAGCTTATATTATTATAAAATAATAAATTTATATTCTGAAGTGGTTTACAAGTCTTTTAGTTATAAGATTTTAATTTAATATTTAAAAATAATTTAAAAACTTTTATTTGTAGAAAATAACAAACACAAATTTAGATGTTTAGTGTTTCTAGTTGGTAAGATTTCAGCAGTCTTTATGCATCCCTCCTGCTTGTAATTGATGGAAACGTTATTCTTATATTGAAATAAAATCAGTTCTTTTATACTGATTATTAATGCAAGCTAGATTTTTATGAATAGAAATTGATTTTACTTTAAAAGTTAAATGCTGAGATATTCTGTTATCTAAAATTAATTTACATATAGTTGACTATCACTGACTCAAAGAAACACTGACTGTTGTAAAGTGCTATGTGTGATGTGACCTGATAGTTTGGCATATGGCATTATTCTATTGAAAAAAACAGTACTGTGACAGTAAACTCCTTTTTTAAAATAGCCTTTCTAAGCAATAAAACAAAAAACAAAAGAAACAAAAGGAGTTTTTAAAATGATGGGCCTGCCTGCTTAGATTGTATTACAAATGTAAAGTTAACCTCTCCATTGGATTTCACCCTTTTTCCAGGTCTCAGCTTTAAAAGGCACACATAGTTCTTATCAATACTCTTGGCTTCATCCTACTGCCTCTTCTAAGTACTTCCACCCCTCTTTTTTATTGCCAAAATTCTTAAACTCGAGTAACTTTTACCTGCTGCTGGCATTATTTCAGCTGTCCCATCTGTTAGCCTCCTTTTCTCACTATTATCTTCAGTTTCTTTGTCTTCTCAATATTATAAGACACTAGAGGCCCAGCACACAAAATCACCCACGCAGGTTCCCAGTTTGCCATCGGGAGATCGGAGTCTAAGGGCCGGGGGGAGGGACCAAGAGTCCTGGCGCTGTCACATCCCCTGCCACCCACTCCGGTTCCCCGTTCGCCATCCGGCAACCAGAGCCTGCCGGCCGGTGCTGAAAAAACCAAGAGGTGGTCAGTGCACCTCATAGTGACTGGTCAAACGGTCATTCTGGTTGTTCTGCTGTTATGGTCGCTGGGCTTTTATTATATAGGATTTGTTGTTTGTATATATGGACTCTTCCCTCTTGTGGGTGATGTGGAAGATAATGTTCTGTTCTCTAAAACTCTTCATTTTCTTCCTGTCTTCTCTACTTGCTATCTTTTCTCTCTTTTTCACTGCCAAATTTCTTATACCAGTTACACTGTTCTCACTGTATCTTTATAAACCATCCACTCACACCATAACTCTCTGCACTGTCTTCTATCCTCACGATGTTTAGACTTTCAAAGGGATTGACCTTTCTGTTGCTTGACAAATCAATGGTCTTTTAAATTCAAATTAAATTTAAAATTATCTTTCTGTGATATTTAACATTAACCACCTCTCTCAGATACAGTGCTTTATTCTTTTTGATAACCTTAATTCTTTAACTTATTTTTATTTTCTTAAAGGTAGGTAGGTTTTTGACACTGTAATTCTTCAGAAATCTTATCCACTTTTATGATTTAGATTTAACATACTTATGCTAATGACTTCATTTTTAGTTATCCTCACTTGAATTCTTTCTACCTTATTAGACAGTGCATAGCTATATAAAACTTTTTAATATGCATAAATCTAATAAGATACTAGGTTGAATTATATGTAATTGCTATTTTCTAGGTCAAAAACTGTCAAATATTGACAGTTTCATATAGTTCAATCAAATAAAAAAACTGAAGCTTTCATTTTAATAATTTTTTGTTTATATGTGCATTTAACTTTGCAGAACCTTTTGATGGAACAAATACTGCCAGAGCTGTACATGAAAAGCAGAAGTTTGACATGATAAAGGATCAATTTTTAAAGGTAAACAGTATATTATATTAACTCTTAAACGCATTAGTAGACTAGTGTGCTTTGAAAATGAAATACATATGTACTAGTAATTGGACAGAATAGCCCTGGTTTCTGTGTTGTGAAGCCATTAATATGGCACAATAGTGAATTTATTACTTGAATTTAGATATACTTTCCCTTCTGTTTCCATTCACATGGCTTTCACTTTTTTGGAAATAAGTATTTTCATAGTGACTTATGAAACTAAAGCCTGATGGACTTCTTTGCCTCCTAAAATATTGGGGAACTTATTATACCTTAAAAGAAAGCTTATTTATTTATTTATTCATTCATTCATTCATTCATTCATTCATTTACTGTTATTGTTGAAAGTATTACAGATATCTCCCACCCCCCCACCCCCCGCTCATGATTTTTCTTTTGCATGTCCTAACAGGAACTTGAGTCTCATTTTATCTTTGTTTATATTTTGAGAAGTTAAAAACGTATGTTTCTGTATATACACGCATTATACACACACACACACACACACACACACACACACACACACACACACACATATATAAATAAACTTCGGTCACATACACACACACACACACATACTGTAGTTTATTCCTTAGCTCTTTAGTTCACATTATGAATTTATTCATCAGTAATTTTGCTAGGTGGGGTTTTAGTCCTCAAGGAATTTCGCAGTACAATGTAGTAACACACTGATAAAAATATGTACTATGAGACATACAGGAGAAATGCTTCATAGAAGAAAAAGATCAGTGACTGTGACGATCACTTTGGAGACATACCTTTTTATTATCAAGACATACAAGTGGACTTTATTTTGATGATAATTAAAAATGCAAGTGTATCACATTACAAACTATTCGTTAAATTAGGCCCTCTCAATTAACAACCAGAATAGAAAATTTAAATGAATGGAATTCTGCAGGACAAAACAGATATTCCAGAGGGAATATTTTTGTCAGGTTAAATTGATAACTCAAAAACAGTATTGCTTACATAGCTATTCTTATTGATGGATGAGCTTTCTTCAGTTCCCTTTTTTTTTGTTTTGTTAATCCTCACCCGAGGATATTTTTTCATTGATTTTCAGGGAGAGTGGAAGAGAGAGGGAAAGACAGAGAGAAACATCAATGTGAGAGAAACACATCGATTGGTTGCCTCTGAACAGGGCCAGGGCCCGAGGAGATTGCAACCAAGGTATGTGCCCTTGACCAGGATCGAACCCTGGACTCTTTGGTCCGCAGGCCGACCAAACCACTGACCCAAACCAGCTAGGGTGCTTCAGTTCCTTTTTTTTTTTTCTTACCAATTCAACTTTTTGTCTTCTATAGTCATAAAGAAAGTGTTTTTTAATAGATTTACTATCACCTTCATAAATACTATTTTTAATTGAAAAAGCTTGCTAGATGCCAAATAGTCAATCAGATAATTTAAGTAGTCTTCCCTTATTCTTTCAAACTCAAAGATTTTGTTTTAATTACCTTGTACCTTGCTGCTTTAGATGAAATTATTTAAATCTGTGAATAAATGTGAATATTGTCAATTGTGTCTTTTTGTACCACCTATACGATTAATCGAAGCCACACAGGTATTGAGTTTTTAGATAACATTTTCTTTTCTGATGACAGAAACAATTCTTGTATTGTGTTAAAAACTTGGGAGATAAAAACACAAAGAAGAAAAAAAAACCACCCCAAATTTTACTACTTCGAGAGAACTACTATTAACATTCTAGTAACTTTCTGTTCAGTATTTGTTCTGCACATACTTTAGGTTTTAAGAATGATTTTTTTTTCTTCTCACAGTCATGGCACAGATTGAGAAACAAAAAAGATTTGAACAGTATACTACCTTTAAGAGCTGCTGTCCTGAAAAGATGACTGGCCTCTATTACTTAATAAATTCTTCTGATAAATAAAGAACAATAGTAATACCATAATGCATTTTGTTTACCTCCATCATAGTTTCTTTTCATTGTTCTTGTTTTCATGTTTTATTTTTAAGAGGACATACTTATATAAAGATTGCATATTTTATTATAACATTTCCTAATAAAACCCTTTGATTTAGAGATGTATTTTTGAAAATGTTTACATTGATGATTAGTGATATTATGGCATGAATTTTCAGGTGATCAGATAAAATATTTTTGGGGAGACTATCTGAACAAATAAAAGGTTTTTGATATAACTTCAGTTAATTGTACCACATGCTAATACTGAAAAGATTTGTGGAATTTTGGAAGTATAATCTTCAGTAGATAGTTTATTGCCTGTCTGGTCTAGTAAAGTGAAGAGTCAAGTCAGTTATTCAGTTACTTGAAGCAAAATGAAATCTTTTATTTCAATGAAATCACTGCAGAGGCATATGAAATACTGGACAGTTGCCTTAAGTCTTCGCTTGATTCCAGGATAGAGGCTGTACATGTGTTTGTATTAGCATTTCATTAGTACCTCAGATGCTTTTGATGTACTCGAGATTGCTTTCAATTTTTTGTGACAACAGTACATTTTGCACTGTAGTAATATGAGCGCTAACTCTGTATTGAACAGCAGTTAGTGAATTGTTTTTAAAAAATCAATTCGTTGTAGACATTTTGAAAAGATCAAGTCCCTTATGCTTTATAGTAGCTTAGTGCAATATGCATTTTAGCTTTACTTCCCATTTTGTGCTTTTATTTTCCATGAAACAACAGAAACTGAAAGGTCAAAGTTGAGATTATAACCTATTGATCATATCAGATTTTTTTCCGTGTGCAATTATAGGATTGTAATCAACTGGAATTTTTAGGCAGTAAGTCCCTAATAAAATGTTTTAGGGTAAGACATAAAATCATTATAAATAAAAGCTTAATGTTTGTAAAGATACTTTTTTAGTGTTTCTTTTCCACATGAAGAAGTATTGGTGGCTGCTGAAAAAGCTACAGTGTTTATTAAGGTTGTTTGGGGTTGTGTAAATATTTGTAAAGTGGTTAATGCCTGTACATTTAAATATGAAAAGTAATCTTGGAAATAGTTTTAACTTTTTCAAAAGGACTCTGTACAACTTCTTTTAGACCTGCTGTAGCACAGTTTGTACCTCTAATATATTTGGGGGTTTTGTTTTTTGTTTTGTTTTTTGCAAACCAATCCAAATGCTAAGACTTGCTTTTCTTTGACTTGTAAAAGGTGCATATTTTCATTTTCTTCTTTATGTTTAAAATTTTGTATTATGTCAAATGCAATAAAGTTTATATATGGAAATTGTTGATGTGTTTTTGTGTGTGTTTGTGAGTCTTTGGAGATGAGATTGAGGCTGTAGCTATCATCTGGAACTGAACTGAATCCAATTATTGTGCTTGATTATTTAGATCAGAGGTTCTCAACCTGTGGGTCGAGACCCCTTTGGGGGTCGAACCACCCTTTCACAGGGGTCGCCTAAATACATCCTGCATATCAGATATTTACATTACGATTCATAACAGTAGCAAAATTACAGTTATGAAGTAGCAATGAAAATAACTTTATGGTTGGGGGTCACCACAACATGAGGAACTGTATTAAAGGGTTGTGATTAGGAAGGTTGAGAACCACTGATTTAGATTATACAGAGGATCTTGGAATCAGGTTCTTTCATTGTTAAGCCAACTAACTACATCAACACCCTATTTCTCTGGTATTACTAGGAATGGAGCTTTCTACACAGATGAATTTTTTAGATTGATATTTAACACTTTTAAAGCAATTATGTTTTATATATTCCCTTTCTTGAAAATTGTAAAATATACACTGTGCAACTCTTCTTTATCAGAATGTGTTGAGCATAATTAATATTATAGTGACTTGAGTAATCATTATAAACCAGTGATGGCGAACCTATGACACGCGTGTCAGAGGTGACATGGGAACTCATTTTTTTGGTTGATTTTTCTTTGTTAAATGGCATTTAAATATATAAAATAAATATCAAAAATATAAGTCTTTTTTTTACTATGGTTGTAAATATCAAAAAATTTCTATATGTGACACGGCACCAGAGTTAAGTTAGGGTTTTTCAAAATGCTGACACGCCGAGCTCACAAGGTTCGCCATCACTGTTATAAACAGTAGTTAATAGTACTCTAGTAATTCTGTGCAGCACTCAAGGATGGGTAAGTATTTAGGGCATTCTTCCTTTATAATATTATGACATTTCCAAATAAAGTTCCTCTCACCCCGAATTTATTATGGTATGGACTCCTTCACTGTCAGTTTTCTCATCTTTCAAAGGTGAGAAACTTTGAAAGATGAGGAAAAACACACACTGCCCTGCACACAGCTCATTTTACTGTTGCTGCTTTTCACCTGTTTTGCTGAAAAATAGATCAAAGTGAATAAACTTTCACTCAATTCAAAATCAATAAACTTAAGCCTAAGTTCCCCATGGATCACTGGACTAGCCCTGAGATCTGAACAGGCTAGCTACTTTTTTTTTTTCTTCCTAGAAGACCAGCATGGCAGTTAAACCTTACACACCGGACTTGTGAGGGGATCATGGAAGTGAGGCCCTTAGCTGAGTGCCTGAACTATTAAGTCCCTTGTTCAGTAAGGAGTACGTATTAGGTTGGGATAAAGGGCAGCTTGGCTGGAAACGAAGCCTACCAAACCCACTCTAGAGGAAAGAGGTTACCACCACTGGGGCGCCTTTCCTCCTCTCCACCTGGTGCTGCCTGGGAGCCTGCGCTCCTTGGAGTGATGGGCGATCCTCAGTTGCCCCAAGGGCCCGCCAGGGATCCGCCGACCGGCGCGGGGCGGGCTCGGGGGAAGTTGGCAGACACCGGGAAGAGGAGAAGCGGAGTCCGGGTCGCTGAAGCTCAGCGGCGAAACTTTCTGACGCCTTCTATTTAAAGTCGC